TTTGTATTTGAGTAGCTTTTCTTTGCCTTGTACTGTTTTTAATTCGTAGAAGTAAAAGAAATAACGCGGAACATGCAGGCAATTAAAGCGAACGTAAAAGCGATGATGCAAGAAATAAGTAATAAAAAGTTTTAATATTTCGAGTGAATGGGGGGGAGTCGACGAAATGTGACGACTGACAGTGAAACGAAGGGTAAACAAAAGCTCTCTTACAATACTAGAAGAAAGGATTTATTTGTGGGTAAACCATGTTTGGTTTACCAAGTGACTTCATGTGGGCGGAATTATAGTTTGCCATTTGAATTTTCACGGCTTTGCCAATTTCAGCCGCCACGATGAATAAAAAAGTGCACAAAGGCTTTATCGATTCTATTATTCATTTCGATCAATTACAATCATATATATAAATAAATATATGTTGTTTTTAAGTCAATACATATCGAAGAGATTTCTGTTGCATTATGTACGAACAAAGTGATCGATAGAATAAGTTTATCAATATGTTCGGATAGTGGGCATAACAACTTGAGTACATACAAGTATGCATTGTGATTAATAAATGTATAGTTGCCTTAAACTCTTGTTATTGACGTTGTTGCTATTCGTATATGTGCAACTATATGTTTGCATGACCGTTTTGAACTCAACCGACCAGAAAACTAGTTAATAGCAAATAATATGAACAAAAAATAAACAATTGAAAGTAAATGAAATAAAAACAAAACACATACACTTGAATATGTCAATAATAGAGTATTTAAAAAAAAAAAATAAAAATAAATAAATAAATAAATAAGAACAAATAAATAAGTAAAGGTTAAGACAACCTAAAAGACTTATTCATCGAAAGACGACTCTGATATACCCATCATTAGGTTAAAGGTAATGCGGTTGTATGTAACACGCAAAAGGACTTAAAATAGACCCATCACCTTTTACTATACCGATCGATTCAGATTTGTAATCCAAATTGATCTAAACCTGTCTGTCCGTCTCTCCGTCTGATGTCCGTCCATGTAATTTCATGCTCAAGCTACAGATCGCAATTTTTGCGATATTTTGTTGAAATTTAGTACAGTGACGTATTTTGATTCAAGGACGGACGCTATTGGAAATGGTCCGGTTCGGTCCACCTTTTCGACCATTCCGCATATAACGCCCAATTGTGAAAAATCGTTATATGGATAAATATTGTAATTTTCAAAATTTCTTCGTAAAAGTGGCTAAGCAGTAGGATTTCGGCATTCTAAATTGGTATGAAAACTTTGGATCGGCGGAAACGAAAACTGAAGTTTTTACGACAAAAAGGTAAAATTTTCAATTCTTCATAATGAAAATTATATTATAATAGTAATTTAACATAAAAAAATTAACTTAATTAAATTTGGACCATCTCGGCCTATTTTTTGGATGCTATCCTAAGAACGATTTTCAGGAAAACTTATGCTTAGCAGAGGAGGGAAATCTAAGTTTTGATATGTGGTAATCGAGATTGACCCATAATATTATAGTAATTTCATACAAATATGAACTCTACTAAATTTGGATCATCCACGCCTATTTTTGGATCCTGCCCTATGTAAGAATTAAACTTGTAGTACATTGGGTTACGTTTGGGGCCCGCATTTGAAGAATTGTTGTATTGTATGATAAAAATAAGAATTGTATTAGAGAATATCGTATAGGGTAATTAATAGTCGGCCTTGCCCGACTATAATGTTCTTACTTGATTTTTTGTTTCAATTTTATTTTAATTTTTTTTTTTTTTATACTTCGTATAATTTGTATAAAAGTTGGCCAATAGGTATCTTAGCAGTTCTGATTCCACATTTATTTAATCAGGTTCGTTAAGAACGTTAATATAACTCAGAATATTAATCTTACTTTAGGAAGCGAGTATGATGATGGTTATTTTAAGCAATCGCTAACCAACGAATTATTAAAGTTTATATGCTTTAGATCTAGATTTTTGCTTATTTCGTTCGCTTAAGAAATATTGAAAAGAAATTGACTGTAGTGAAGCATTAAAAGTGTACAAAAAGACTTATAGATCAAAAGCAATTCTGTCACCGATAGATTAAGATTATGTGCCACGTTTGTTTGTGCATTTACGTTCGCACGTATAGTGTGTGCTGGCCACAGAGAAGATACGTAAGATACGTCACTTTGGCTTTACAATACGAAACTAAACTATTACGAAGGATTAATAGATGAATACCGTATACCGGCTAACAAACATTGCAGTCACTACTTACACCTAACACAACGCAAACAGATATATATATGCACGTGTGGACGTACACGTCCACATCAGCGTGGATTACATTCATTCACATTCATAAACGATTTATGTGAGTAAATGCAAAATATTTGCGACTATGATGTTAAGGAAATGTAAGAATGTTGTGAGTTTATTACTTTAAAGCCGGACCAATGTGTGATATTTACTCGAAGAGGATTTATATGTATACAGTCGCAAAGAGTGCGAAAATGTAGTCATAATAAAAAATGGGGTGGTAAAAAAGTATTATCAATATTTCCCTCTTTCTCTCTCTCTCTCTCTCTCTCTCTCTCTCTCTCCCCCTCTCTCTCCATATATATATATATAAGATGCAATTGTTTAAAAAAAGGTTTCCCTTTAATCTGTCTTACATACACACTTACATCGTCTATGCAAAATTTTATTTGCAACTTTTAACTTAGAGTCAACTTTAATGCAGTACAATGCAGATCAATTGCTCTTTCGCTGAAATTGCATTATTCATTACATTATTATTTATTATGAGTTCAAAAAAGGTTTTTCATTCAAAGCGATTTTGTCCTCAAAAATAATCAATCAAAATAATCGACCCGCTGAAGAGATTATTTAGAGATCAAATACAACAATTGAAAATCACTTAAGACCCCTTGTAATAGCTGAATGAGCCGAGCTTGAAGTGCATTGAGTATAGGGAAAAAATCTTTGCTGCAATCATCTGAAAAGCAATAAAATGAGAATCTTTTTTCAAAGGAACATCATATCTTAAATGATTGAAATGTATCATGCAAAGTAACATTATCCGAAAACAGCCACGATATAAACACGAATTGCATCAAGAAGAACGAATTACGCTTTCAGTTTGATGCCTTTAAGCTGCTTCTAGGGAAAAGTAAAGAAAAGTATTCTAATGTTTGCTAATGTTTAATAGCTGCAGACGATGCAAAAGTATTTGAAAAAGCACAGGCAATGCCGGCAGACATAACCGGTACAGTACTTCATTATGATAACATTATGCATTTTGAAAATTGATTACGGATTGAATTAGAAACGATTTCTCATTCCCTGCCTAGCTCTCAACTGTCATCAGCTGATTGATTATCATTTCATTTTCAATGCATTTTACCGAGCTCTTTCGAAACTTGAATCTTGGCGAATGAGGACAGTTCTTACATATATTTTATATACCTAATCTGTTAAGATTGCGAAAGGAATGTAAAATTTGAAATATTAATTACAAGGTGATTGCAAGGTAAATACTTATGAGCATAAATTGCTAAATCGAAGACATTCTTTAATCCAATCCACAATACTTATGATTCAAGTGATGTTCAATGTTATGTTTCTTCCTAAAGAGTGCATAGAGTTTCCGATTGCGATTTCCTTTGGTGAAACTTTTGCTTTTTTCTCATTTTAAGTGATATTCGATGCGATAAAAACTTTGACTACAACATCGTTCATCACATGGTCATCACAGTTCCGCTTCCATTAAATTTGACGCAATTTCATCGAATCTGTCTTATTGCTGTAATCTAATGACTTCACATAAACCCATAACAAGCAATCTGACAATGTTTAATGTTCAACTACCCTCTGGCTATAGAATCGAGTATGCACTCGATATCGTGAACTATTAATCGGTCCCTGTGTCCAATATGTCGTTATTTTGTGGTAAATAAAGGAAACTCGTGCCTCGTGCCTCGTGCCTCGAGCATTCGCGCCTTAGAGAAGAAAGTCCTTCTCTAAGACTAAGAATGAAAGGTGAATTTATTTTGAGAATCCCAAGCGCTAAAGATCATGATTAGATACAGAGACGTCATTCATATCAATCGCGTGACCGAAACGCCTTGAAAGCGGAGCTCTGCGTTTGGTGCGGCCAGAACGTCTATTATTAGCCCTTAAAGCCCTATTAGCCCTATTTTTACATTGCATCCATCATCCATTCATTCATACGGCTAAACCAGATCGCGATACGTTGAAAGCACACACCTGAGATATGTCAGTCCGGGCGAGGTACCCACCTTAAATTTCCGAATACCAGCTCTTTGCGTCGATAAGTCACTTACTTGCCGGTGTAAGGGGAAGAGTTTTACAAAAAAAATGTGTAAATAGAGATGGAGAACAAAAAAAGAAAAGAGAAACGTTCTCCATACCTCTACAGCTGAGTATGTTACGTCAAATTTTGAAGTAGTAATCATGTTTTCACAAGACCAACCGAAAGACATACAAACTGGTGGCTACGCGATCAGATACTTCTAACAATGCAGCCATCATATAAGCAAAGTTTTATCGCTCAATATCAGGCGAAATTTTCACTTGTTCCTAAAGCCCTATAAAAATCAATGTTAAGGTCAAGGTTACAATAAACGAGATGATTTTCCCTTCTCTTTATTATTATTACTCAAGCAAGTTAAAATTAGTTATAATACTTGATATACAACTAATTCAGAATAGAAAAATAGGAGAAAATAATGATAATGGAAGCATAAAAAGAAGTGATTCAATAACAAACAAGAATACACTTAAATTCCAGCTTTGCTAGCTGACTGATATATTGCATATAGATCAATCTTGATTCAATTTATAAGGTTATACAATGCCATAGATACATAACATATACTGATATATTCATTAATATATATATTCACGATACATCAATTTCAAGTTTCAAAAAACTCCGCATATACTAATAAATGGTCGCCCGCTATTCAATTTACAATTTAGTCCTCCCACACGGAAAGTCTAACAATAATAAAGATAAACCAGAACAAAGTGTAGCAACAGAAACAAGGCAGACCATCAGACGTTGTAATATAAAGACTGCCGTTATTACTTTCAGACTTGACGCCGAGACCGCACCATAAAAATTAAAATGACGCGAATCGGGTGATATGGTGACCGCATGTTAAGTTGCGAGTTTGTGGTTTACTGTTGCCGGAATATGAATATTAATCTCGCCCAATTAAAAATGGCAAGTTGCGTTCACCCGACAGTGCTTTATGAATAAGCGAAAGAGCAAACCCAATCAGTTAAGCCTACTCCCTAAAATAAGAAGATGGATAAGCTTAAGATGTCTCCAATAGGAAGGCAATGGTATTGCTTTTGGAAAAACTCCATCTGGTGGATATAATATCTATAGTCCTGTGACTACAAACCTATGGAGTTCTCCAATAAAGGACAAAGAAGTGCGATAAACCATGCGGTGCGGTATCAATGCAAGGATCATTAAATTCGCACGATCAATGTGTGATAAACCCCATCAGAGGGCAAGATAGAGCCCAATTCAGAATCAATCATAATCCCCAAATCCATGAAGTTCGAAACAGAGTCCACACATGGCGACATATTAGTACATCTACACAAAGCATAAAGTTCAGAAAGGTCAGAAGGTCGGACGACTGCTGTCCATGCAGATATTGAAAGAGTAAGATAATCTCATCCGCAAACATGGGCGCTTTAGAACTTTGAACGCAGGATGGTAAGTCATTAATAAATGCATCGAAAGGTTATAGACCGAGATGGCTCTTCCGCAGAACGTCGCATATGAAGTGTATAGACCGTGATGTACATGAAATAATCAACACTCATTATGTACGACCAGTTAAACAAGATTTAAACCACACAAGTGCAACAGTACGAAAGCAGTCATAACACAGTTTAAAGTTTATGTAAAAGAAGTTTATGATCAACTGATCGAAAAATCTGTGTAAGCAAAAGTAGTTTGTTTGCCCACCAGCAATCCATTAGAAACGAGGCATTTATATATTCTTTGTAAAACATAAAAATAAATGTTTTTCATAAAAAAAAATGCATTTATAAAATTTAATCTAATGAAATGATGAAAAAAATTCCAAAATCGTAGACAATCCGTGGCTTTTCGTACTTCATATAAGACGTTAATAGACGCACTGAGAGAAGTAAAAATGAATTCATAGAGAAGATTGTTTCATCATTCAATGTCGTCCGATGTCGAATGCAGAAGCGACGTCGCTAGCACTATACCTCTCATCTTATTAACAGCAATGAACAGTTTATGGATTTAATGGGGACTTTGTTTAATGAAAGTGAATGAATGCAAAACTTAACGTATCGCTGTCTTATTCAACAAGTCTACCGGGGAACGATCTAAACAAACTGAAAAAAGTTAATATAGTTCTAGACAAATATGTCTATAGAAAACCTGTTGTAGGTTATCAATCAAGTTCTTTGCTAAATTTTAATGATAAGATTGTGTGAACTAATAAAAATAAATTATTTAATTAGAGATAAGTGCATTATGTGGTGCAAATAATATGGTTTTCTGCTTCTTATAGCGCATTTAGTAAAGGTCCGTATACCGAGAGAGAAGTGAATTTAGAAACAAATAAAATTGAAACTGAGAAAATGTGGTTATATTTAATTATTACGTTTGTTACATTAATGTTAATTTGTATTAAAATACATTATAAAAAATGGCAACGTCTGGGTATAGACTATGACGAGCCTTACTTACCTTACGGCTCCTTAGGTGAAGTTGTTCGCCAAGAAAAGCATTTGGGTATGGTTTTGCATGATATATACTGTCAGAAAGCGAAAGCAAAAATTGTGGGCTTATTTATGTTTTTCAAACCGATTTTATTAATACGCGATGCTGACCTGGCCAGGATGATAATGACTACCGGCTTTAATAGTTTTCATGATCGTGGCTTATATGTGGATGAAAAAAATGATCCGATGTCTGGAAATTTATTCGTTTTACCTGGGCAGCGTTGGCGTGTATTAAGGGCGAAATTGACTCCGGCCTTTACGTCGGGCAAACTGAAAGGCATGTTTGACACCATTGACGAAGTTGGCAACAAACTCACTAAACATATAAAGCGTACATGCGGCAATGATTCCGTTAAGACATTCGAAATGAAAAATATGCTGACTACGTAAGTTCGATGTAATCAAAAAAACTCAAAAACATCTCTCTAACCGATCACTTCATCACGCATCAGATACGCAATCGATGTAATCGGTTCCGTAATATTTGGTTTAGATATTGATAGCTTTGCCGAGCCAAACAATGAATTTCGTGTCTTGAGTAATTTATTATTACACGAAAGTACTGCTCTCCAAAAACTCTTCATCACAATGAGGTTTTGCTCTCCATCGTAAGTATGGGAAATCATTTAATATTTCTTCAGCTCTCTCTCTCTCTCTCTCTCTCCTTTTTTACTTTCTTCCTCTCGTTTTTTTCATCTCTATCTCACTTTTCCCGGCGATTATAATATATGCATATATGCCGAGTATAAATAAGGGAAAGGGAGAGATAAGGAGCCTATACCGTCACGTATTCCGAATAACATGAAAGAAAATAAAGGCGTTCTTCGTTTTCCTCTCAATTTTACTAATATCCATTATTTCTATTTATTTAGTTGAGGGAGAAAGTAAACAATCCCTTCCTCCTCCTCTTCGTCTACGTCTTGGTCTTTCTCCTTTTTATTTTTTATTAAAATGAACATTTTTATATTCCTATTTCGTATAGAATTGCAAAATTATTGGCATTTTTGGGTATGGGCGATAATATAACTCATCCTTTAAGAGATATTGTTAAGCGAACTATCGCGTTTCGAGAGAGAAATAAAGTAATTCGAAAAGATCTGTTACAATTGCTAATACAGTTACGTAATACCGGGAAAATAAGCGACGATACCGATAAACTATGGGATATTGAAACTAGTGCAAAGATTCTCGAATCGATGTCTATAGAGCAGATAGCTGCCCAAGCGTTTTTATTTTATATTGCTGGGTCAGAGACAACCGCTGCAACTGCCGCTTACACTATATACGAGTTGGCTATGAGTCCGAAAATACTTGAGTGCGCTCAAAGGGATGTTGATCAATGCCTACTGGCACACGGACTCCAGCCAGATGGCAAGCTAACCTATGCTGCCTTACACGATATGAAATATTTGGATTTGTGCATAATGGGTGAAGCAATATTTTATATTTTCAACCTTAACGGAGTAAATAGTTTATAATGTTTTTTGTTTTGGTTTGCTTTGTTTTGCTTGTTAAAAAGAAACCACACGTAAATATCCTGCCTTACCGTTCTTAAATCGCGTTTGCACTCAAGATTACGCGGTGCCGGGAATGGATTTCATCATTAAAAAGAATACTCCGGTCGTAATACCTCTATTCAGTCTGCATCGCGATAATGAACATTTCCCTGAACCTATGAAATATGAGCCTAAGAGGTTTTCCCATGATTCCGTGTCAATTGCTTTTATGCCATTCGGAGAAGGACCCAGACAGTGTATAGGTACTTGTCCCGATAACAGAACTAACAACAAGGAAAGCAATTAATTCGTTTTTTTTAACCTCTTCTACTACACAGCACAACGTTTGGGTATTATGAATGTTAAATTGGCCTTAGTGAAAATTCTAAGCAATTTTCAAATCGAATCGATCGGACACAAAGAAGTTGAGTTCATGCCTCACCATTCTCCTGCATTAATGCCTAAAGATGGTCTCAACGTTCGTCTACGTAAAAGACGGCAGTGAAAATTCTTCACAACGATACGAGAGCATTTTTGGAATTTTAGAACTAAGAGGACACAGGAATACCTTGAGTTCGTACTTGCGAATGTTAATAAATGAATGGCTATGGAGTGAACGATTGCTTTTTCTATATCTATGGGGATCTAGATGAAAGTGATTCGAGACTTGCTTTTTTTGCGTAGCCGTACAAGAGAACTTGAAAAAATATGCAATAAATTTATTTTGTAAAATTTCTCTAAGAGAAAGTATTAAGTCCTATAAATTCCAAGGCCGTTAATTAAATATGAGATTCATATTTCGGGCATAAGCCTTCAAACGATTCAAGATAATTTTTTATTTTTTTTATTTTTATTGTTGTTCCGCACTGGTTCCGTTCTTAGGGAAATATTTAATTAAGAAATTGTGCTCTGCCTTCACGTGCTTCAAGTACTGTTTTTTAGACCGAAAAAACATAGAAAGCCGCTTAAATTTCAAGTTGCTTCAACAATTCCGAGAAACACCAACTCTTGTTAATTTTAGTTTGAAATGATCGTTTAGCGCTGGATCTGAAGGGAAAGGATACAAAAGCAGTGAAGTGAAGCGAAGTGAATCAAAAATGTCGTCAACTTTTTATAGAAAAAAAAAAAAATGCATTTTTTAACCGATTTGTTGAGTTTCATCAACAACTTCAGCCACTTCCTACGATAATTGCTTCACCTACTACCGTAATCTTCAAGTATTTTAACGGATAACAATCGCTAGCCATCTAATATTATCCTCAGTTCAATAATAATTTTACAACATTTTTTTTTTTTTTGCTCCTGTTTAACAAATCTCAAATAATTACATTCATATAAATGAAATCTTTTCGACAAAACAGATGTCTACCTGTACGTGTATCTATAATTTGTAATCTTTCTTATCTCAATGCTATAGAAATCGTTTTTTCTTGCACTACAAAGGAAACGAGCCTTCGAAATTGAAACAGCATTATACTTATGTCTTCATAAAGGTTATTTACACTAAATTGCTTAAAGATTAAAGTGGAAGGGATCCTTGCAGTAAAATGCACGATTTACCATTCCTGGTACGAACGTAATCAACTTTCCCCTACACTCCTGCATACCTCGTACCATTGTCAGGCGTTACTCGGTGAAGAGTGGTATGTAATCAGTGTGCTCGCTTTAGTGAGACCTTCATAGATTTCGTATGAATTTCCACTAACTGTTGTCTGTTACAGACTTTGTGCTTCCTGCCCCGGCAATTCACGGACTGCTTACGTCGGAAACTAATCAAAGGCTTAAGTGATGTGGCCAGTCATATCCAGCCTTGAATCCAAGACATTGCGAAGTATCGTGATTGGCGATTTAATTGCAGCATATTGGGTCGGTTATGAGCTGCTTGAAGTTTATCTCTCCGCACCGCATTTGAGTCAACAACGATGTACTGCGGATCAGTGACAACGTCCATCTGCTCTTCTCCGAGGTCTGCCACCGTGCTTGAGACCCGTTATTGATAAAGATAAGGACAGCTTTTCTTTTCCCTAGACGATCATCAGAGAGAAAAGGATAGCCGGTATAAATTTTTTATACCCTACACCACATATGAGATAAACGTATATTAAGTTTGGCCAATGGCCTGAAGGACTTGAGATAGACTCACCATTTATTGTGCCGATAGATTCAATATCACTTTCTGCATTGATTGTCTGCTTGTCTGACCATCCGTCGATCGGCCCGTCTTTCCGTCTCATATTCTTGTATTCAACATACATGTCACAATTTATCAAATATTTTAATGAAATTTGTTCCACTGATGTGTTTTGGCGTAGGAACATGTTTCATATGCAACAAAGTGATGATCAAAGTGTAAAAAAAAAAAAAAATAAAAAAAAAAATTAACAATAGCTTTTAAAAGTCGTCTCTGAAATATGCAAATCCTCTCTCTAAGTCCGGTGAGCAGTATTCAAACATGAATAAAGATTTGCACATTAATACTCTTATGTGGTATACATTAGGTGTACCTGAGCATGAAGCGTAATCATAATCATTGTCGTTGCCTGGAGGACCTCAATATTGCTATTTACCGTTAATGTGATCTTATCTAAATTTAATACGCCACGTTACGAGGCACTTCTCAACGCTCCTATCTTACAAACAACCCGTAACTCCTCCTTTAATATTTAGATGAATGTAGGTTTCACTTCAAATGCATTATATTCCAGAAGCTTGAAAACATTGTCATCTCTGCGTGGCTGTGCGCGTAAACGTGCGTATGTGCGCGCGGGCGTGTGTGTGTGTATATATAGAAACGTGCATACCCTTGAGTCTTCTTCTCATTATAATTAAGAAAAGTGTGTTTTTTCTTATATTTATTTTAAGAATAAATGCCCGCTACTACTTGACCCTACCTTCTCTTCACGCAACCATAAGTGATTACTTAATGTTTACATCTCTTTCTTTTCTTCAATGAATTCGTCGAGTGTGGTGTGTGTGCTTGCATATGGTATAGTATGTACACTGTTTATGCTGGAAGCGAGCTTGTACACATATTGTATTTATTTTGCCCTTCAAACGTTGTGTGTAGATTTTAATAACAAATGTAAACACTTGTTGTTAAATATATTGTTTACAGATTATTATCTCACATATGTTCAATTTTACACATAAAATTTCATTACTTGTTATATACGTATTATTACATATGGCGCTTTTTGTTAATGTTGTTCTCTTCGCTGGTATCTGTTTTGTTGCTTAGATCCCTCCGATCGGGGTCAATACGTTCATTTGACTGCAATGTGTGCAGCTGTTCTAAAGTCTTAGCTAGTTAGGCTGCATCTTGCATGTTTGACATTTTGCGAGTTCATTTCAACCCCTACAATATGTTATACATAGTTACGTATACAAAATAAAATTTGTTTTTATCATAAATGCATCGCATTTGTTTGAGTATATTAATCGGTTCTTTTCAAAATTGTGATTATCTTCATTGTCTTAGCGAAGACTTAATTTAATGTTTTGGCAATAACTAGCTAGTTCCGATCTGGCGATTGCAAAAATTTGTATTCTTCGAGGAATGCATTTTTAAGTATTTCGAAAAGTTAGTGCTTTTAAGCTTTCCTGTTGCGGTCCCGTCTTCTATCGTTCCCAAGCACTTTATGCGACTCACTTAGATGCGACAAATCGGAGATGCGAAAAATCATTTCTTTTCTTGATCAATGAATTGAAATGCGTCTGTCCAATCATACGAATTGGCAAGTTTGCCAACAATTCATTTGTTCGTCTCGGACAGATAAAGTTTTGAATATCAGGAGAATATACTGAGTCCAGTAGTACCGAGTATATCGAAGCGACTCAAAATTAACTACAATTAATAGACATCCATTAGCTCTTAGACCGGCGTTAATGTCGCTGATGGTGAAATTTGATTAGTATCGACTTTGTGCCGCTATCACTCATGTTGTCAGCAATAATTTTTTTTTTGTTTTTAATTCGTTTCACATTTTTTTACGAACAACGTTTGCTATATTGGTCATTCGATTCGTCATTCTACCAGTCACTTGACTATTTGGCACACGTACGAATAACTGACAACCAACACTTAGCCGTCAACCGAGCGCCTGAAAATACAAACAAATTGTAAAGATTAGCGATAGAAATCTTTGTAGTTTGGTGTTTGTATGTGTGCTTATGAAAAAAGCTTATAGTGACTGTTGGATTATAGTACTCAGCACCGTGAAGCATAATGAATACGAAGCTCTGGGAAGATTGGCGTGAAGTTAAGTTAAAAAAAAAAGCATTAATTGTTATGGTTTGTGTCTTGAGTAGTTTTTGGCAAAACGTTGCACTCGAAATCAGGACTACAGGGACTATTTTACCTGCCAATCTCTAATTGTGCTTCCTTTTGATTTATTATGCACGCTCAACTGTCTGATTAAACGATAAACGGTTGTTCAAAAACGTTTGTAGCCAAGCATTCACTCGTCTCGCCAAGTGCTGCAAGGTGCTAAATTATGGTCTAGTTAATCACACCTATTGATTGTTTTTACTTGCTTTTTCTTAAAGATTATATTCCTTTCACTTCATAGAGAATTCGATGATTTCAGGTTTTTGCACCGAAATTTTCGCTTTGATGTTTTGAAAGATGCGTTATGCAAGAGTTGGACGAAAATATAATATTAGTTATCTTAGTTCATTAACTGTGTTAGACAAATGGAAAATTCGCGGGTCGTTTTACTTTCAGTCAACAATTAAATTGTTCTTATCACGTCAGTATCCATCGATCGGTTCAGCGTTAGTCATTTATCTTGAGAATGTTCTTTAATATAGACTTTAACCAGCTGTCGTGCTGTTCAAACTTCCCTTCAGTTAGGTTAAATGTGTGTTGGCGACTATTAGTTGATTTGGTGTAAAATAATTTTTTCTAAAGAAACTCAATAAAAGACAATGCCATGAATTAAGCCTGCAGCAATTCATTGTAGAGAGAATTGCAATTATTTTGTTGATTTTTCACAGTACGTCTGTGTGTGATCAACCGACCAACCAACCAGTCAGTCAGTGGTGGCGCTGCTTCTTGGGTGTGTGCCTTTGCGGGAAAGACACAAACAAAATAAGGAAGAAAAAAACGAAAAAGAAGAAAAGAAATGAAAAAAGCCAGAAATGAAATCTTATCGCACAGCCGGAAATCAAAGCTGACATCAAAGCTAAATACCGCTTGCCATAAAATGCTGCGGTATCGTCAATATAATCGGTCAAACAAACGGTTTTTTTTTTTTTTTTTTTTTGTTTTTTAATGTGTTTGTAACGATTATCAACGCCATATAACGAAGCTTCGCTCACATATATATATATATATATAGATACACACACACACACGAACACGAACAGGAACACGAACATACGCGTACATAAACAGAGGAGGGTTCAAACACATTCGGTTTGATGCGGTGTTGTCCACGTCACAAATGTGCAATTTCGTTATGCACGGACTGCTGTGTATATATGACAAACTCAACAAACTCACGCATGCATTCCCATTCTTTTATTACTGATATTTTTAATGTTTTCAACGGTTCAATGATTAAATTTCCCAACGGTGCAAATCAAAATACCAAAAAAAAAAAAGATTTGACAAAAATAGAAAGAAATATGGGAGAACGTTTGTGTTGTCTGTTATAAGTTTCAGTAAGCGAGTTCAGCAATTGTTATTAATTGTAGCAGAGATTGATAAGAGTGCGGTTTGTATATTATAAATTAATTTTTCACCCCAGCCAATGGCCCTAATTTATAACGATAAAGAGGAAAAGGTTTTCCTACTAATGCATACTTGAATAATATAACCAATGGACCAATAGAAGCAAAGCGAATTTTGCATTTATTTACTGTTCTTTCTATTCCACTTATGGAAACCTTAACCTTAAAATTATTTGCATAAGTACTTGTCATATAACATTACGGTTAGATGTGAAAAAGGAGAGAGCGATGGAATGAAATCTCTCGTGCCCTTTAGAACGTATATGGATTCACTTTTTCGAACGCCAATTGAATAAGTTCGCAGAGGCATACATGAAGTGCGTTCACATTAGAGCGACAATGGCAGAAGTAATCTAATATAAGCCGAAACAGATAAGAGATTAATGATATACATATAATAATTGCCTTTGTAGGGAATCATGTCGTCACATTTCTTGTAAATTTTTGGGACAAAATTAAAATGTCAAGGTATGCGATTTAATTGCGGACCAATACCAATTATGGTTTTAATCAAACTTTGTTGCAATAATTTCGACGACTTACTCAAAAGATAAGCTTAGTTTTCGATATGACGGGAAAAGAAGGAAATATGGCGCATGACGGCAATGATGACAACCCATTATTAACGGTCACTCGATGTATTTTTAGAAAAAAACTTTGAAAAAAATAAAAATTTTTTGTTTAATTTAAACACGGAATAGATCGGTTCGTTTTTTAAATAATGCAGAGAACTATCGTAGATAATTTGAATTTTTTCGAACTATACTGTTGTGTCACAAAACAACAAGAACGAAAAAAAATACGTAAATAAAGTGGAGGAAAACCTCAGAATATGTTCAATTAATAAAGAATTCACTTAAAACCCTCAAGAGATTCATTACCTTTTATAGCTAATTTTCATAATGATTCATAAAGCATGGAAGTTATATTACGAGCACCACATTGCGACGCACACAAAACTATCAGAAATAGCAACAACAAAAAGGAACAAAAAAAAAAGAACCGAATCATTCTCAATAACAACGCACAGCTTAACAGCGTACTAATAAAACCGAATAACATGAATAAAAGCAACAAATCAAGAGAGGAAAGACCGCAACTTATAGAACTGAAAGAATAAAAACAACAATAACATCAACAAACAAATATACCAACATTAAAATCGAGTTGTAATCCCAAAACGTAGCGCCGATTATGTTTCACAAGGATGATGATAATGATGATGACGATGATGATGAAGACGAACGACTTAACTGATGACGATCACAAGCCAGCAAAGCAAATAAAAAGGAACAAAATATAAAATAATAAAAAACAAGCAAAAGCAAAAACAAAAATCATATTTGAAACTGAAAAGATCGCCTTCGTACCTTTAGACAGACACACATATGGAACGCTTCAAAATACACACCTCATCTTGCTTCTCAGCTTGAAACGCATAATGTGGAACAAACCGAAAAGCAGGAGGAATTCACAAAGACCGAAACGAATGTGCACAACATACATACGAGTATGAACTATGCACATAGTGTATAAGTAAAGCCCTCAAAGCAAACTAGCGACTTTGTTCACAACCACCACAACCACCTAGGGAGGAACCTATCACAAGAGACTGACTGTATGCGCACATATAGAACTAAAGCTGCAGCCATTAAATGTGACCAATTTCATACACAATAACATATATGCATACATACAAACATTATTCTTTTTGTTTCGTATCTTCTTCGCCCTCATTGTCTCTGCATACAAACATTTGGCCATATATACATGTAGCAAACTCAATACCGTAGCGAATACGGAACATTGAGAAGAACATCGAAAGTATCGGTCGTTTGGCTTGGCGGCTGTATGATGTGGTTGATGATGATGACGATGATGATGATGATGTGCATGTGTTGAGGCCGACCGAACCGACCGAAAGATATGTTGAGTAGTAATGTAGGGAAAATAAAAAATACAGCAATAGAACAACAAAAGCGAAAAACAAAAACAAAAAACAAAAAAAAAAAAAAAAAAAAGACCGACACATTACTCGGGCATAAAAACAACTTCAGAGAACGCCGGCAATTATGATGGGAGCGCGCATTTATAATCAAATGCTGCATGAACGTCGCGGATGTATGAAAAATTGTAAAAAAACAAAAAATATAACAACAAGAAAAAGAAGAAAATTCATACACATGAATATTTGCCTCTAAGTGTATATTAATAGCCTGTTTTTGGCATCTCGATCTTTTTAGTTTGGTTTGGCGGCGCAGCGCAGGGAGATTTGTTGCTAAGATATATTAAAATAATGAAAAACTAGGTGAAGTCTGACATGATTGCATATGAAGGTTTAAAGAATAGCTTGAAACGAAATGTACTTGTATGAAGGTATTTAAATCTGCTAGGCGGTTGGGGCCTGATAAAATTTCTGCATAATCAAAATAGCTTTTTAAAGCTTTGCTTTTCTTTATTTATATCTGTATTAATAAGGTGAGTGACCAAAAATCGTCTATCTACGCTTATTTAAGGGATTGGGAGAATAGCTGTTACCGTTCTTCTTTTTTCTCTCTAGCAAATCTAGAAAAAGATCTAGAAGTATGAGATTGAACTTTGAATGTGAACCTCAGATAAAGTTCCGAATTATAAATAAAAATAAACAGAGTTAAAGCGGTTTTATTTACAAAAGAAAGGTCATAAGTAGTTTACGCCGATTTGAGCCTTGCGTAGCACTTTGTTTATATACCGAAATCGTAATCATACTTTGTATACGGTTTCTTACAGGGAAAATGGGAGTGGCTTTGGCAACTTCTTTCAAGCGGTAGTTTTTTTTTGGTTAAGTAAAATAGGCGCGGTCTATCATGAAACATTATTAAGGTTTGGAGCTATTTTAGCTTCTCAATATCAATTCAATACTTCTTTTAATGTCCATCTTTTATCGCGAGTTTTCATCACCTTCATGACGAATAGTTTCTTTCTCGATTTACGTTTTTATAAAGAGTATTTCGATTTCAATTAAGAAACTCTTGCAAATATTTATTGCAGACAAGTACTTGCCTTGAATGAGACTCGTCAATTTGTACTTTTGTGCTACTGACTTTTTTTTATTTTATTATCATTATTATCAGTTTATTAATTATTAATGATCATACATACATTCACACAACAGTAAATATTATTCTAATTAAGATTGTCATAGTTAAGATTTCTTTTGAAAAGTCATAAATTTTTTACAGATAAACGTTTTTAACCTAAGCTTATACTTGATTTAAATTTTGAACCTAGATTACGTATAATGTCGTTTAAATATTCACTTTCTCAAACATGCATATATCTCTCTAATAAAATGAAGTGTCGTTAAAATTCGATCGAAGCCAATGGATTCCTTTAATTTCATACTGATGTTCTTGCTTCGAACTTAACTGATAACTAAAGCAAACAAAGCACCCGAAGCATCGAACCATGGATGAGCAAAGTAAAAACTAAACAGCGCACCAATTGCACGCTCATTGTATGTTCGAGATAGCTGCACATTTTTTGTTGAGAGCGCAACAGAATATTTAGATTTTTAACCATGCTCTCCATGCTCTTTACTTAGGATCATTTATCCAGGTATTGCTGCAATTTTTAGTGTAAAATATTGTTTTATTCATAACAACATTGAGCAAAGACATTCTTACTCTCAAAAAAGTCGAAAACGGGTTTCGTAAGAACATATAGCAAAGTAAATTTTACTTTCAAAGAGACAAAATTTTAAATAACAGAAAACAACAAAACAAATAGATGTATGCACCATACATATTTATTTTGAATATTTCGATTATTTTGATGTCTTTTCCCAAAAAAATATTATAATATATGAAATAAATATGTGAATAAATAATTTTGCATTTTCTTAATATTTAATAGCATTATTTTAATTTTTAATGTTTAAAATTAATGGTAAGTCAATCTTAACTTTTATACATTTTTGATGCTAATAATAATGATAATGTAATTTTATCTTATTTGCATAAAAATATCTTTCAAAATCTATCAATATTTGAACAATGTATAAATTTGGAAAAGATATGGCGAGGACAAAATAAATGATTATGGTGGTTATGTCCTTAACTTTCGGTAGATTGAAGATTTAGTTATAAATGTCATATTATGGATATTATGAAGAAAGATCTATAAACATATTCCCCTCCAAACCCATTAAAGCTATAAGAGTATTTAAATAATACAACTTTAGAGCTTTTTAAATTCAAAAATCTAATACACAGATTTAACAGACTTAAAAGCTCTTTTTATCTAGCATACTAGTATAAAGCTCAGTAGTTTTTAAAGAAGACCTCACAAAATTGTATTATTGTAAATACGCTCTTATAATTTTTTAATTTATTTAATAGATAAAATAACTAACAATATTACATAAAAATGAAATGATATTTATTAAAAATGCATGTAATTAAAATGTTCATATTTTTGTTTGTTTTTTATGCCTACTTTTGCTTATTAACCGTTTTATAATACTAATATGTAGCAAATTCTTATAATCAAAATATGTGGAAAATAAGCATTCTTTAGAGTACAGCATACTTTAATTATAAACATTTATTATATACATTCTTTTAAAAATTATGCTGATTCAAGAATATATATAAATACATTATAGGATCTATGAAGCTTCCTTTCCAGCGTCGCAAACATTTTGCAAATCGAATATACCGGCTCATTTCTAGCTCGCTAATCGAGCAAATATGTTCGCGTTTTGCCGTATTGTTGCTCTTTACTAGTCGATTCAATCAGATGTTTAATATTATCAATAATTGCTCTTTGATTTAGTTGCGAGTTGGGGTTGCGAGTTACTTTGCTGAGAGTAAATTGACTTTCTTATACATTTCAAAAATAGTTAAAAAAAAAACGAATAATAAGAGAAGAATCAGGTGTTTCAGTTCTGTAATTACAGATATGTTTTATATCTTCTTCTTCTTCTGGTAATCAACAAATCAGCAACCATAAATTTTATTGCCATCTCTGTGTTTTATTTTACTGTGAGAAATAGAATTTTAATATTTTTTAAGTTTTTTTACAGGGCATCCATAAGAAATGTACAGCAAAGAGAGTAAAGTAAATTTAACTCTGAGAAATTGAATTTCATGGATGCATGGATGTATATGTGTCAGACTTGTGTAAAAGAAATATACGTTATTTTATATATTTATTATGATATTTGCTTAAGACCGCTTTTGTTGTCAGTTGTTGTTGGCTTGGTGTGTTGTCGTAAAAGCGGTTGCGGTAGACTTTTAGAGGTGTATTTAGCTTCTTGCTTGCAAGCTTGCAAGATCGCAAGATCCAAAGAAATAAAAGAAAAAATACATATATTCGGAGAAAATATAAAAATCGAAGCCGCAAAATATTTCTATATTTTTCAAAAAATTTCCATGAATAAAAAAGAAATAATCTTACAAATGAGTGTTAAACTCAGCTGTGAATAATCGATATAATCGTACTTGTGATTAAAAAGTTAATTCAGGAGGCATTTGACAAAAAAGACTGGAAGAAAAACTTAATACATTTTTGTTTGGGATTTTTGAATAGTATAAGCGGTAGAGAGATGTGAAAATTTTTTGTGCGAAATAATCGGCGTAAAAACATAGGATATTAGGAAGAAAAATAAACTAAACTAAACCAAACTAAAAATAAACACTCCTACATATAAATAACTGATTAATGTTAAAATTTAAAAAAAAATCTTTGAACTTTTGAACGGTAAAGTCGTGTGAGCCAATGCAAAATAATATTCGTAAAAGTATTTAAATAAATAAATAAATAGTTTTTGGAAGATAAAATAATATCCGACAAATTTAAATGAAATAAATAAATAAAAAAATTAAATAAAGTCGAATTTTACTCGTCGAAAAAGTTAATTCGAGTTTTGGATGATAAGCATATGTAGAATTTGTTATCGCGAGAGCTTGCACGGAATAATATACGCAAATATATATAATACTATTAACACGCATTAAATACTTTCACATCCGATTATTTAATATTATTAATATTAAAATTATAAAAATATAAAAAACAGAAAATACCTGAAATATAAGAATAACGGAAAGATTAGTACACAAACAGCCTGAAAGACAAATAATTTATTTTAAATATTTTTATATTTATATGAGTTTACCGACTGATAACAATAAAAGGCAAAATTGCAATTTGTGTTTCAGCGAAAGCTTTAAAGTTGTCATTATGAGTTTTGGAGTTTAGCACGCGACTGATAAGTGCTTCCATTTTTTTATGCGCGATGATCATCTGGAGGATACAAAAAATAATCTTAGCCACTTTCCGATAAATTTGTTAAAATTTGGCAAGCTATTTTATAAAAACTCAATCGGTTGATTTGTTAGTGACCAAATTTTTAAATCGGAAATTACTTTTTTGTGGGGGATTTCATCTCAATTCAGAGAAGAACTTCTGAATTTAAAAATCGGAAATTCAAATAACAAATTATAGATATATATATATATATATATATATATATACATATATATCCGTACTGGCGTGCGTACAAATATATATATGCCAGAAAATTTATATACACATACGCGCGGCAAATGCGTGCAAATGAATGAAAAGCTGCCACAAAGGCTACAAACTACCTGAGGAGATCATTTGAAATGATATGCTTGAAAGAATTCCGATAGATGTACGCGCACATCTACACACGTTCATACACTTGTGTATGGCTATATAGAGATGCATGAGAAGATCTTTCGATGTGTACACAAGCAAATAAAAAGAGCAAAAAAGAAAATATCTGTTTCAATGTGTGTTTACGGAGGTTTTCACTTCAACTAAAATCAAGTGTGTACGTATGTGCGTATTGTTATTGTTATTGCTGTTGTTGCTATTATAACATGAAGGAAATGAAAAAATCTACTTAAAAAGATCTGAAACACGCAAAAAGTTCAAAGTGAAAAAAACATACAAATCATTTTGTTGTTAGTTGTTGTAGTTGTTGCTGTTTACAATTAAAACTCAAAAGTGCCGAACAAACGAACTGAACAGAAGATCAGGGTTAATGTGTTTTCTTATGAAATTGTAAATATGCACATATCTATGCGTATGTGCACGCATATACATATACGTATCAAAAATCGAAATATAAACAACAAAATTTAAAATAAAGTGAAGTTGAAATAAAGAGTTCTTCGAGCGCGAAAAGAAATCGCAAATTAGGAACGAAAAAACGTATTGAAATTATCAAAAATATCTATTTGGTATTGATTATAAAAGAGGAGGATGAAGGACTACCGCTTATTCTTTCTGGCCACCTTAGGCCTTTATACGGCTTATACTGAAACGGAGGCATTGGTAACATCTGCCGGTTCAGTTGCTTTGGCAGCACAAACCCCGAACGGATTACAATGCCAACGCATAACCGTCTCAGCCTGCCAAGGGCTCGGCTATAACATGACAGCTATGCCAAACTTAGCCGGACACACAAATCAATTGGAAGCTGAGCTAAGGGTAAGAGGAACAACTTTGTGATAATTTTCTTTTTTCTTAAACACAACAACATATGTGGAATAAACAAAACGAAGAAGAGCTTTATATTTTTTTGATGTAAATTATTTATCGGTGTTTTCTAAGTACTGTAAACTAAACCTACTATGCGATCACTGTATAGCTGCTCTTACTATACACTGCACTCTGTTATACACTACACCCCAGTTGTGGTATAGGGTAGATTGAATTTGTGTGAACGTATATGACACGACGAAAGGCTTAAGGTAGACACACCTTTTATTACACGGATCACAAAGCGTGTCTGTCTATCTGTCTGTCCATGCAAATTTGTGTTCAAGCAACATTATTGGAATTTCTGAGATGTTTTGATGAAATTTGGTATTGCGACCCAAGGACGAGCGCCGTATTTTGAAAAGTCGTTATAAGGAAAAAAATTGCAATTTTCAGAATTTCTCTACAAAAGTGGCTACGTACTAGTCTTTAAGCATTCTAAATTGGTATAAAAACTTTGGACCCGCTTTGCCAGCTTTTGAACACCCTTCCGTATAACAAAAACTGAAATTCATATGAGGAAAAGGTTTAGTTTCCAATGCTTTATGATGAAAATTAAATCATAATAGTAATTTGAGATAAAAAACTTAGTCGTACCAAATTTAGAGTATCTCGGCCGATTTTTCGGATCCTAGCCTATATAAAGATTTTCACGAAAATTGATCCTTTGCTTTCAATATATTGTGTATTAAACTTAACCCATAACCAATAATGATAATTTGTAAATAAAAGTCAACTCTACAAAATTAGGACGACGTACGCCTATTTTTGGATTGTATCCTGCATAAGGATTTTTGCGAAGAGATTTAATTTTTAATACACAGTTCCACAATAATATGGTCATATAAACACAGGATATAATTTTCGTGTTCTGAGGTGAAAATGAGAATTGTGTCAGACAACGTAGTGTGGGGCTTTGAATAGTCGGTCATGCTATAACATAACGCAAACATAATATATGACTACATAACATATGACGTATGTAGTGAACTTAAACAGTTGGAAAAAAAAAGTTTAATAACGTGAGAGAAAGAAAAATTACTAACCCAAAAAGAGCGCTAAATATTTATATTAAATGTGAGTAAATTTGTGAAGCAATATAATTGATTTTTTTACTTTAATACGATGACAACTAACATTTGTAAACAAAGCGGTTAAGATCCTAATCGCGATTTCAAAGGTCAGACTGGTGGCAAAACATAAACAAACCGCTTCTATTTTTAAAAAGCATTTCACAAAGCCAATGACAATCACACAACGCATGGTTACTTTAAATAAATATGACAATTGTGCGTTTAAGTTAATCTTCCATGTATTGAGGGAATTACTCTTCATTTATCTCTTTAATTTATTGGATACACGCTTTGATGCAATGCTACTATGACTACTATATATGTGTATCGTTTACCCTACAACTTTAAAATATTCGATTTTATAACTTGCATCACTTTATGCATTAAAGGGCATGTTAAGTTTCCGAATACGCATGTAACATCCAGAAGAACTTAAGATTGAATCGCCTTTTGTTATACCAACAAATTCAAAATTACTTTCTGAATCAATTTAAGCTTACTTGTTCGTCTATGCGTCTTATCTCTGTCCATGTACTCTTGTGTTCAAACCACAAATCGCATATAAACGTGTCATATAAACGTCCCTGCAGAAACTAAATCTTTATATAGCGAAAAGTTTAATTTTTAGTATGTTATGGCGAACATTCGTCTGTAATAGTACAATTTTACATGGAAATTAACTTTGCCGATTGTGGACTAGGCAGGACTATTTTCTGGATACCATCTCACTTAAGGATTCTGATGAAACATAAGCGTTTATATGGGAAAAATATCTCATCTATGATTCTTACGATGAAAAGTGATTCGTTGGTGTAACTATATGAAGCACATGAAACTAGTATTTCAACATCGTTTCATATCGTCCATGTTGTTCTCATGGACACCAAGCGATTTAACAAAGATGTTATGGTGGTTAATATGTTATGATAATAATTGATGTCGTATAAAAATTTGAAGATGGAGAATTTGGATCACATAGTTGCATATTTTAGAATCCGCCATATATATCGCGGCTCTCAAGCAAGGTAAGCGCTTATATAGCGTCAACTATTTAATTTGCAATCTTTTACGGCGGCAACCATTGAAAAATAATAAAATCTTTTACAAATAAATGAAGCTTGCTGAATTCGGACCTCACTAGTTGACGTATTGAGCGTCCGCTAACATGAGGGCTATCGTGAATAGTGTGCGTTTACATAATACATTGCTGTATTGTTCATGATGTATTATCGCGAAAATGAATGAAGTGATGTATTATAACGGTCTCACTTGTTCAAAGAAAGGTACTTTCAATTAAAATCTTGACGCAAGCGTAATTAATATGAGAAAAGAAATAAAGACAAATTGTGATTATGTCGATCGTTGCGTGGATTGATTGATACAATTTATAAATAACTGTAATTGAAGTAAGATATAATTTTGCTCGTACGTGTCACTTAGTCAGGAAGAATATTACATTTGCAGTAAACTAATGTGTATATATTTATTTCATATAATTATGTTGTCAAAAAAATACAGGCAATCGGATATTTAAGAAAATTATACCTTTTGAATAATTCTTAATGGAATTATTTGTTTCATTGCTCTATCACGCCAGTTTTCTAATTTTTGCGATAGTTCTTATGAATGAATGCTTTTCCAATGGAATTTTGTGTCAAAATGTTTCCGTTTCTTCTATCAAAATTCTTATAAGCTGAATAAAAAATGAAAGTGTAAATAAATATCAGCGCCAACGTTAAGTACTGTACATCATAGCTAATGAAAGGGCGACTTTTCCAAATAAGGTGTTATACGAAAAGTGATCGAAAAAATGGTCCGATTGCGAACCATTTTCAATAGCGTCTGTTTTTGGGCGAAAACATCAGTCAGACAGTGAATCAAATTTTATGAAAATTCCTGTAAATTCCATGTGATATGTAAATCAAATACAAGAGCATGCGACGGACGAAAGGGCAAATGGATAGACGGACACGCAAGCAGTAAGTGATTGTGAATCGATCGGTATAGTGAAAGGTTGGTCTCTATGAAGCTCCTCTACGTGTTGTAATGTAACGTAATGTAATGTATATTATCTTTCTTTCAATTTTTAATCGTTGTACATATATATATACCGAGCAGTTTTTTTTTTTTATAAACTTTGAATGAACCACAGCTCTTGCATAAAATTCTATCAAATTTAATGTCGAAATTTTTTACATCGCATAATATATGAATAAATTCAAAAATTGAAGTCTTAAAGCACTGGTATCTTATGCTTTACCGTTAATGGAGACGCTTCGCCTACTCGGCCACTCAGGCGGATAACTTCGATTTAATTCAATAAATTGACTTTAATTCAGAATTCATACAGTTTTCGGAATGCTTTTCTGGGCTCAATAAGGTATATCTTACGATCCCTACCTAGACGTTCCATGGTATAATGTATGTGAAAATGCATTTATATTTATTTGCAAGACATCTTATTTTGAATGAAAATTTACTTACGTTTGTGGTTTTTATCACTCAGTAAGTGTCAGAAAAATAGCATTTAATTGATTTTCAGTGTAAGTTTCAGCAGCACAGAAACGAACAAGATAAAACCATTTTTAAGTGAAAAACAAAGCGAAAAGATACACAAAACAAAGAGAGAAATAAGAACAAGTGACTTAACTTACTAACTATGAACTTGAAAAAGAATTTTAAATACTATATAATAAATACTGCTATTTAGGTTTCCCTTCAGATATCGGGTCATTTTAGAAAAGTGTTCTCTAGGCAGGATTACGAAATGAAATCTAACAAATCTCTATATAATGAAATGTGATAAGAAAGGTACGCAACCAAAACACAAAATGTAAAATAATATCAAATTTCAAGTCTTCTATGATAATTTCTCTAGTTGTGGCCGGTATATACGTAGAATGTCTTATCATTTTATTGAGAATATTCGCGATTTTGAGGGGGGAATTTACTTACTTTCGACCACCTCAAAATATATTTATCAAGTTACAATTCTCTATGTCGGATGTGGAGTGAAAGTCAAAGTCATCAAACTCCATGTCAGAGATCTCGGAGATCTTAGAGACATTACCAACTATATGATAAAGTTAGTATACTTAAGCTTTCTCGTTAGACGGAAACGCTCTTGATCTAAAGAATAAAAGAAAATCATGGATCAAATTGATCGTAACGTTTCCATATATCACATATATTGTATGTGTACTAACATGCAAAGGCAGACCGGAACCGTTTTCATTTTGCGTAGATAAATATAAAAACGAAAGAAAGGGAAGTTTCTATGCATACCTGTAAAAGAAGAAAAGAAAAGAAAAAAAAAAAACTAGAAATTTCTCGTTTGATATGGATAAGAAGATGTGTACGCTCTTAAATTGGAACCCCTTTAACGTAATTGTAAGTTATGTTCAGCATGGACGGAGTTATTGAATGGCAAACTTTAGCGTACGTATGATATTTGGTCGCAAAATCTGAGCAAAAATTCGTTCACGCGATATGACGCTCGTATATTGTACTTTATATATACTATCATATTAAATAAAATTTCGATCACTTAGCAGCACTTTGCTCTAAATAAAAATCATATCGATATTCTCTATCTTCGACTGATTTCGCTAATTTTCACACTTAACCTGACCTAATTGATAGGCGAAATTTGTGAGCAAAATTGTTCTTCTTACACACATTTTCATCTTGTATTCGTGATATCGACGAACGGACAAGTTACACACAAACATGTAATGTGTAATGATAAAAAAAAAAATAAATAAATAAAAAAAGCACTATCGCCACCTCCGATAGGGTCAGGATCGCACAATTGCTTTTATATCTATTGTATCTCCTGGGACATCATGTTTCACATAGTTCCGATAAATGCTTGTG